CAGCAACAAAAGTCTGCTTCCTGACACAATAACATGGTAACATCAACTTTATAAGTAAAATGTTCACTTAATATTGCTTCTATTTAAATACAAGATTATTGAAAAACAAAAGCTACAATAGTAACACACGCAAACAAGCGCGCACTCATACATGTATGCCATGCAAATAAACTGCAAGAAATCTGAAATTACTTACCTGATAAGTCTCAATTCACTGCGTAGTTGCAAAAACTGGTAAAAAAAAAAAAAAAAGCTAAAAATGATCAATTATTGTAATTTTGAAATGTTTTTTTTTTTTTCTGCTAGTTTGTAATATTTAGCCAATGTGAACAAACACAATGAATGGGTATTTTTTGATCATTTCTACTCATTAAAAAATAAAGTTACGTCTGGTTGTTTAACCCATTCTAGGTTCTGAAGGAAACCTTTTTTAAACTTCTTTTCCAAAATTGAGTCAACTAATTAGTTTTTGTAAAAAAAAATTATTTTAATTATTTAATTCTACAAAATATTCAGTATCTTGACATTTATACTAACCAATTGCCGATAAAAGATAAAACATAATTTAAACATAAAATCTATCTTTTTACATTTAAAAAGAGTTAACAAGAAGCGCAAATATATGTTATTATTATTATTATTATTATTATTATTATTGTTATTATTATTATTATTATTATTATTATTATTATTATTATTATTATTATTATTATTATTATTATTATTATTATTATTATTATTAATATTTTATTAATCACCCTCTGTAAATTAAATTTACAAAGCAAAAACACAAACTTAGAAAAAGAGATAAAAAAAAGTATTATTTAGGAATGTTTTCTTCAAGTGTCTTTTTAAAAATTGTTCGCTGTTCTTTTAAATTCCAACATTGAACCGCGTGTACCAAAATAAGAAGAGTAGCTTCAGGAATTACATCCTCTAAGACTTTAAGTTTTACTTTTTTTTAACCAGCATTAAGGTTTTCATATTCAGTTTATGATTATCATATAATTCTTTTATATCATCTAAAAAAGAAAATTTAGCTGAACAGTAGTTAAGTTGGGAGTTAATGATTTCAAAGGTTACTTTATTGCTTAAAAGGCGGATAAATAGATTTATTTTGTTCTGGTGTATATAATTTGACATCTCCTTAATTTTAAATAGAGAGTGTATATAGTTTTTACTATACTTGGAGACATTAAAAATTGATTTAACTGCGTTCGTTCCAAATGTGTCGAGTCTTTTCATGTATAATATGTTATTATTTATAATATATTATATATATACATATATATATATATATATATATATATATATATATATATATATATATATATATATATATATATATATATATATATATAAATATATATATATATATATATATATATATATATATATATATATATATATATATATATATATATATATATATATATATATATATATATAATATTTTGCATGTATTATATTTCGGAAAAATAGATTTTTAAAATTGGTATCATGTTTAGGAGAGCGATGTTAATTTATACAATTTTACACGGAACTATTGGGGTGAAAAAAAAACATTAAACAGACTGAAAAGTACTAATCCTTGAGGTCGCGAATGCGTCACAAAACGAGTTACCATCTTTGTAGGGGGAAAACATTAACCAAAATGCGTTATTAGCGCGTTTTGTTTAGTGCCTTAACCCGGCTTTAAAATTAAAACAATAATCAATGTTTCCCCTACAAACATGGTAACTCGTTGTGTGACGTGTTCGCGACCTCAAGGATTAATAAATTCAAAGAAGCACAGAAAATTATAGACATTATTATATTTAAAATCGTTTTGTATTTTGTACAATTTTGCTCCCCCTTCTATCCTCTCTATAAAAACTTTAAAAATTTTTTTAGGGGAGGAGAGGGTACAAAATTGTTGCGTTATATTGAGGGGGGGGGGCAATAAAGTGATACGGATGTGTTACGAGGGAGGAAGGGGGTGAATAAATGTCAAAAATTGCGTGACGTAATTTATGGACGACCCCTAATGACAAGTTATCAAGAAATTAAAAATTTTTGAAAAAAAAATTCGCTTAAAAAGTTTGAAAACAAAGTTAAAACTTTATTATAGAAAGAATTTATTATAATCAGAAATTAATATTAGAAATATTTCTAATAAAAAAGGAAATTTAAACTTATACATGTTTTAACTGGGGCTTAATGTTCATTAACTCAGTTTTTACATTTTTTATTAATTTTAATTTTCAACTCTTTTGATTTTTATGTTGTCTTTTTTTTTACTTACATACTTTAACGAAGTGCTAAGAAAATTATTTTAAATCTTTTTTATATTTATATTTTTTATAGCAATTTTCTTGGTTATCGTTAAAAATGTTTAATACTATTTACTTAGTTACGTCTTCGCTTATATATTTTGGTTGCTTTTTCTGTTTCTTTTCTATATGGACTTAAAGGACATCTTTATAAAACGATTATTTTTATTAGGGCGTTTAACGAATGCTTGTAAGTTAATAAGCGCCTCAATTTGGGAATTAACCGGATGACAAAATTAAAAACAATGTTAGATGGAATAATAAATCCATTTCATCTTATATTCTTCTAAATTTTATGCTCATTTTATACTTTTATGTTTAGTTACAACGATTTTATTAAAACTCTACTAAAAAAGTTATCTGCTAGAGGGTCAAATTAGCTAAAACATATCCTCATTAGCTTATTACTCATTTTATTATTCAAACTGGTATTGTGATTTGTTTTTCTTTATTCGATTGCCTTATAGAGACCAAATATCAAGATCTGCAGAAGATAGATTCAACTCCAAATATTTTAATCAGCTATAATTATATCTTTTCTATTAATTCTAATTTAACTTTCGAATAGATTTTACTCCAACTAAACCGTCATAACGTGCAACCATGGACTAAGAGGTATTGCGTTTTAAGTTCAAAGATACAAAGAGTAAAAAGAAATAAACAGTAAAGAGAATAGAGGAGGTCAAATGACAAGCTAACAGTAGGTCAAAAATACATTTATTAAATAAATGCACTTTTAGTGCCTGTGCTTCATAGATTTTTCAAAGTGATGTACTTTATTAATACTAATAAAAATAAAAGAAATTTAAATGTCATAATAAAATAGAAGAAACTTAATTCTCGTGCTTTTACTGTGACTCACCCTTTTACTAATCCTTTTGCTGTGACTGTTCCTAAGCGCTCTAAAAATTCTTACTCGTCCTTTTTATTCCTCGAACATCAGTTCTTTGGAATTTGCTTCCTTCATCTTGTTTTCCTGCAGCCGTATTCTCATCTCTCCGTTAAGCTTAACGGAGCTTTTGCCTGAAATTTCATTACAATATATCTAAGTAAAGAAATGACAAAAACCTTATTTAAATTATTTAAAATAAAACTAATACTAAAATAAAACATTTATTTTTAAAAATTTATATTTTTAAAGAACTTTTTTATTAATGTAGTTAAAAAGAAATTTTTTACTAACGCTCCGTTAAGCTTAACGGAGGTGGAGATGAGAATACGGCCCCTTATTCATATAATTTGTAATATTTTAAGTCGTCTGTTTATCGTTATCTTGCTCTATAAACTTCTTTTCTTTTCTAGTAACTTCTAACTCTAATAGTGGTTGCTTGCACCCTTGTTGGAAGTAAAAATGTTGAAAAAATGAAGAATTTTTATTTTCAATACTGAACAGTGTTACTAAATTAATTGCAGTGCAATAACATTTTAAAAATAGGGAACCATTCATATATAAACACGAAACCAACCGCACCATCATTAATGCAAATTACGGTTGGTCCGACTGCAACTTTAGTTAAATTGCACAAACATAAAAATGCCATCGGCTCTACCGCCAATTAAACGCTATTGGGTTAACTAATGCAAATTGTGGTTGGTTCAAAAGCTCATTCAACGACGTTGTGTCGACTAACACAAAAAGTGTTTGGTTTAACAATACAAGCTAATCGAGAAATAGTTGAACAAACACCATTTACAGACCATCAACGCAGAAAAGAATTCAATAGAAACTAATGTAGACATCTCGTAAAAATTGCTTGAAAATGAAAAATTTGAATGTAGAAAACTTAACCTCAAATAAACCTAAAGTTCATGCAGTCATCAAAACCGACTATCAGTCCTGAATTTATTGATAATCAGGCTGAAAAGAATATTACCCAGGTATAACTTCCTCCAACTTCACAAAAAATAAGGTCAAGAGAATTTGGGTTTTGTTATGAACAAGATTCAAATTTTTTTAAGCATTTTTTGTAAAAGTTTAGCAACGAAACATTTTAGTTTTTTGGAAGTATTGTTTAAAATACGGCAATACTTTTTTAAGATTTTGAAAAGTATTTTATTTTTATTTTTGAAAATCAGATTCATAAAAAAAACTAGAACTACCAAAAGGTTCAAAAAGATGTTTTGGAGAAATGCTAATGTCAAGTGCGCTAAAAATGAAATAATAAAGTCAAATATCATTTGATTGTAAGATCTTTTTGTTATAGCTTTATTTAAAGAGTTTTAAGTTAAAAGTTGTAAGTATTCATTAACTAAACAAAGGAAAAATACCATACACAAAAAAAGTGTTTTTCAATCCGCTTACTAAATATTATGCGAAAGGGTTGGCATGTTTATAAAATAATCGTTCAAAATTAACTACATATATTAATAGTTTGAATTGATATAAAAGTTAAAATAATTTATTTTATAAAAGCTAGATTTCATATATATATATATATATATATATATATATATATATATATATATATATATATATATATATATATATATATATATATATATATATATATATATATATATATATATATATATATATATATATATATGTTATTTACTACTTATAAATTATAACTCCAAAAAACTCTTTCGAATCAATAAAATTTACAAGTTTATTTAAAATGTTTTTAATAAATATTGTCAGAATACTCGAATCTTATAAAATTAGCTTAAAACTATAATTAAACTTGGTTTATCGCTTCATGTACTATATCTTCTATTATAAAAGCGTAATAGTTTTGTAATTTCTTGTTCGACGTTTTTTTGCTCAGTTGAATCGGTTGTATCAGAAAAGTCGTTTGTTTGAAATTCTAATAAAGGTTCTGATATTGTTGGAAGAGCCGCGTCTTTTAGTAACCCGTTTTTAAATTTGGAACATATCGGACTTGATTCTTGAGTAAATTTTGTTTCTATGTGGTGACTATATTGATAGTTCGACTGCTGTGTTTGGGATTTAGCAATATTGTTGTGTATGAATACATTAGAGTAACTAATTTTCTTTTTAAGACTACTATTGTTTTCATTGTTTTCATTATTTTCATCGGTTTCATTTTCTGCTTCTTCTATGACTTCATGAAAGCTTTTATCCTTTTTTCTATTTGATGTAACAGAGCTTAACTCATTACGCTGAATTTTACTTGGTATTGGGTAAACTTCAAAATAAAGACTTCTAGATCTAATCAAGTTTCTTTCATTTCCTTTTGACAGCATAATATTCAAAAATGGCTTCATTATCTTTAGAGCATTTACCTCACTGTATTTATCAATTTTCTTTGGATACTTGTCGTCAACTTGTCGATGTTCTGACAGAGCATTTCGTATCATTTTTTAAAAACTAAAGTAGAAAAAGTGTTAAAATAAAAAAAGTTACACATTTCCTCAACGTAATTTTTTTTACCTATTAAATATTACAGCATTTTTTATTTCCTATATGCATTCATACATACATACATGCATACATACATACTACATACATACATACATACATACATACATACATACATACATACATACATACATACATACATACATACATACATACATACATACATACATACATACATACATACATACATACATACATACATACATACATACATACATACATACATACATACATACATACATACATACATACATACATAGATACATACATACGTACGTACGTACGTACGTACATATGTACGTATAATCATATTTTAATTTTCACTTGTAATATTACCTTGCGGTAAAAGTTTTATTGCTTGTATAAATTTGCTATTATTCTTTAAGCTATAATTTTAAATCGATTGCGCAGTGGGAGAGAAATTTACGTTATCCTTTAATCGTTAAAACAAATAAAAGTTGATTAGTCACAAGTCAAACGCAAAGAATTGTCATTAAAAAGTCATTGAAGCAAAAACTAGTTATCGCTTAAAAGTTAATTAAATTAACAGTATTTGTACGTTGTCCAAGTAGCCAGACGATAATTAAACACTGCAGCTTTTGATATATTCGAGTATCCACTAGAGACGTTAAAAATTTTAGAGAAGCATTATTTAGCGCTACAAATTTCGTCTTTGTTACTTTAAATATTTCTGAAATCAAATTAACTTCCATTAGTAAACCATGATTTTGTTTTATTTACTTAATTGCCAATATTGTTAATTCGATTTCAGATGCCCAATATTTGTTAAATACTTAAAAAATCATTGCCATATCTTTTTTATTTTAATACATAATTTATTTTTCGTCGGTAGTCATTAAGAAATAATGAATTAGAAATAAAAATCATTTGAAGCTTAGCTGATGTTTTCTTGAGATAAAAATAATTCTCCATAACAAATTGTATATGTATATAGAAAACATACATAAATTTTTACATAAGTATATAATTTATCTAAAAATTGTAAACAAAATTGAAATAAAAATTTTGTCCATTGATTTACGGCTTTTTATTCCTTTTTTTTTTTTTTTTTTTTTGTGTGTGTGTTTTACTACTTATATTTGGTAGCGAAAGCATGTTCTTAGATTTTAATTATCTAATAATTTTGAACCCACAGAAAAACTTTTTAACGTACAAAAAGCTTTCAAATCGAACAAAAAGCTTTCTAATGAACTTAAGATTTCTAATCAAACAAAAATTAGTTTTTGATTAAGTTTTCACACGGCTTTTTAAACGCAAATCGGCCAATAGAGATTCCAGGCGCTATTAAAACTTAAGTATTAATGAAATAGTATAAATAATTTTTTTTTGTTTTAATGAAATTTTTTAAACTTTAATGAAATTGTATAAATAAAATTTAAAGCTATAACTTTAAACTTCATTATTACAGCATTAAATTTAAATCAGCAAAATAAGACAAGTATAAAATCTTGGCCTAAAATTTTTAAGTATTTAAATTTAATGCTGTAATAATGAAGTTTAAAGTTATAGCTTTAAATTTATACAATTTCATCCAAAAAATATATTATATAATTTATATATAGAATTCTTATAAAATTTCAATAAATTCTTATTGAAATTTAAAAATTGATTTTTTCTTTTTTACTTTATACTCTTCGTTATCTTTATTTTGATTTTCAATGATTTAAGTTTTAATATATTAGGAAAAAATAAAATTAGTACAATAATAATAGGTAACTTTGCACAACAATAGGAAAAAGCTGCTCAATGACATGTCTAAGATATTTTGCGCTCTAGCAATTGAAAGTTTATGCTACAACTGCAAATCGCTTTAGAACTCGAAAGTTGATTCTAGTTACAAAAATTGTGTGAAGTAGTAATTATAACGAAAATTCTGCAAACACTAGTAATTTTTGATCTAATCAAGTTTCTTTCATTTCTAAGTTAAATTACTAGTGTTTCTGCAAAGACTAGTAATTTAACTTAGAAAAAAAGCAACTTAAAACACTATCTTGCAACATCTGTGCAGAAGTTCAGATCTGAACCCAAATTTGTATCATTTTTTTGCTTAAATATGATTCTTAGTGTTCATCAACTTAAATTTGTTTAAAAGAAAATTTTAAACCAGCCAAGTAAATTTTTTAGCAACTAATATGAATAAAGTTACTAATATGAATAAAGAAAATTAAAAAAGCTCAATTTTTCGTTACTAAGTATACTTATTAACGAAAAATTGAGCTCTTTTTATTTTCTTTATTTATATTTGCTTTCGTAGTAAAATAAATACTTAAAAAATAAAAATATGGTTCCTGAACTAATACTGATTTTATTCATAAAACCTTTTAAATAGTGTAATAAAATTTATTACACTATTTAAAAGGTTTTATGAATAAAATCAGTATTAGTTCAGTAACCATATTTTTATTTTTTAAAGTAACATTTAAAATGTATGTAAAAGATGTTATCTTTGACCTACATTTATTACTCTTATATGTAAAATATGTAAATGTAAGTAACAGATGTAATAAAAGGTAGTATAATGTACAATTGCATTATACTGCCTTTTATTTATTGTTATATATGGAACAACTTAGTTGAAGTATTAAAGTAGCTGGCGAGTTAAACAGTTTAATTGTTCATAAGCGTCAGATTTATATAACTTTTTTAAAAATTGCTAAAAATTGAAAAATAAAATCTTTTTCAAACTTGGTTAAAAAGCCTAAAGTTTATCAACCAAGTTAAATTTGCAGGGTACTTAATAACCAGGTTAAATTTGCCCCTGTAAGGCACTTAATAGCCAAGTTAAATTTGCCTCTGCAGGGACTTAACAACAGGGCCGCCGAGAGCATTTTTGTCATGCGATTATGGTGGCGATAAGAGAGAACTACTGTGGCAAAATATTACTATCGAGAACAGTTTTGCATCAAACTATTGTATAATATTAGTTTTTTGTTGCTTAAAAATATTATGAAATTCAAATCTGTTTTTTTAATTGATTCGTAAAAATTATCAGACCAAATATTAGCCTTATACATTTTATTACCCTTACAACGAATTTAATATAAATAATATAAATAACTTTTACTTTATAATTTTTTATAAAAAAAATGCGACGCTTTTTAATCAAAAAATGGTCACACTATTTCGCAGATTTGAGATCTGCGAAATAATGTGACCATTATTTGATTAAAAAGAAAAAAATCTGCAAAAAACTAGCTATAAAATATTGAGAAAACCCGTGGTAAATGAAAAAAATATCTGGGTTTAATATGGAATTTCCCGTCAAAAACCCAGACTAATCCCATATTATATATATATATATATATATATATATATATATATATATATATATATATATATATATATATATATATATATATATATATATATATATATATATATATATATATATATATATACTTTGTCTATATACATAGACACACAAAGTATCATTACTATTCTATAAAACATCAACTGAAACGTCTTGTTGCAATTTTGATATCTTTTGTTAAAATTAGTAAGTATATATACTGGTAACTCATTTAAACTTAATAACTAAACTCAATTTTCTTTTATTTAAAAATTGTATAGATTATAGTTTATAGATCATAGAGTATAGAATATAGAGAATTAAAAAATATCGTTAAACGACAAATAACGAAACAAAATTAATATTATCAAAATAATCAACCAAACAATGCAGACATTTTTAATTAACCGAGTTAGCGCATAATATTTTATGTGCTAAATTAAAATATAAAATTTTCTACTTTTAATTTAAATTTTTTTGAAGACGTCCATAAAACGTCTTTGAGACAACTTATTTCTAAGGTAATTAGGACGTCTAAAGAAGGTCTTAGGGACTTCAATAAGACGTCCTAATATGGAAGTCCCGATAACGTCTTAATGTTAACGTCACTAGGACGTCCTAACAAAGACGTCTTTACCGGACATCGTTAGGACGTCCTAACTTGGTCTGAGACGTCGCGACCTAGTTAAGACGTCCGTAAGACGTCTGATTGACGTCTGTGCCCGCTGGGTGGGTATTAATTTATAGATTTATTCTATAGGCGAAATTCAAATGATAGTAGATTTAATTTTGTTTAGTCTTTCGCTGTTTTAGAGATGTCGCAGGCTTGAAGCCCATTTTTAGCTTTGCGTTGAACAAATGCAATCAAAGATGTATCAGTTTTTAACTAAACAATCATGACAAATGCTCAAGCTTTGGTATTGTATAGACTTTATATAATTTGAGAGTTGTATTTCATTTGTGTAATTTAATGTCCTTTTTTAGCATACCGAGAATATGTAGAGGTTTATAAACAACTGATTGAATATGTGACCTGTACCTTAGATTATATCGTTTAAAACAAATAAGTTATTCCTAAACATATAAAAAACAAAATACACTTTATTTCATTCAAACCAGCAAAGAAGCACACTACCAAACACTCTACCCTCTCTAAAAATAGAAAATATAATAATTGAGAGAATTCATGAGACTAAATTTTTAGTAGTTATAATTGATGAAAACTTATCTTGGAAAGCTCACATTAATGCTTTAAACACTAAAAAACATAGGTCTACTTTATAAAGCAAAACCTATGCTGTCGCAAAGTAATTTAAAACTTATGTATTTCTCTTTTATACATAGCTACTTCATATATGCAAATATAGCTTGGGCGAGTACGCATATAACCAAATTGAAAACTTTATGTCGACGTCAGAAACATGCTATAAGACTAATCTATCATAAAGACAAATTTACACACGCTAAACCCTTATTTAAAGTGAATGTGCTTAACATTATTCAAATTAACATTTACCAAAATATATTGTTTATGTTAAAATTTAAATTAGGTCAAGTACCAAACCATTTTTAAAATTTTTTTTTTATAAATAACGTTAATAAATATAACACAAGAGAAACAGGAAACTTTATTACACCTTTCAAAAAAACAAAACTTTCCCAGTTCTCAGTTTCCTTATTTATACACAAACTATTTATTTTTCCTTATTTATACACAAACTAGTAACTAAAAATAAATCAATTTGCAATCCAGATTATCAAAATTCTTTAATATCAAAGTTAAAAAATCTGATACTGAATCTAAACAGATACTCTGAATTCTTATAAGTCTATAAATTAAATTACATATATATCAACTACAAAGTGAACTGACTCGTTTATGCGTATTATCTAAATGACTCTTACCTTTCTCAAACAATATATCAAATATTGTTTATTACTCACAAAAAAAACATTTGATTTTTTCTTATCAATTTTAGTTATTATGCTGCTTGTTATGTCTAATTTTTTATACTGAGCTTATTTTGAGTTTATTTAAAAAAAAGATTAAATATAAAAATGACTCATAAATTACGCTTTTTATTAGATTTTTTAAGACTTTGATTTATACCTTAACTATTTTGTAAAGTGTAACTTAAATAGAATTGGCTTGACCATGATGGATAAAATAGCACTTTAAAATGTTTAATTTTAGTAAACTTTTGTATTTGACCGATTATTCTTTTGTGAACTCTGCAGATCAATGACTTTACGAATTTACTCTGCCATAACGTTTTAGATGAGAATTCGGCATCATTTAAAAATATCTTTAAATTTTCAACACTGAGAACATCAACCCAAACAGAGCTGGTATAATTAAATGCAACGCGTTGTTTTCTTTGAAAAATTGTTACTAAGAAAAAGTAAAGATTTTAAAAGTGCAAGAGATACAATTTATTGAATAACAGTCTAAGCGTCACGCACAAAACATATCCAATTTCTACAAACTGTAGAAAATAATAAAAACGATGAAAAAAAAAATGGAAACAATAACACTGAAATTGAGATAGCCTGCCTCAAGCCTGCAAATAAAACTCATGGAGTTGAAAGTGTTGATCTACAATGCGTAATAATGAGTTTACTCAGGTACTCCAATTTTCACTATCTTTAATGACACCACTAACATCTGCTAAACAAACAATTTACTTTTTAGGCATTTAATTTTTTTTTTCTATAAATTGTCACTTTTTTATAATACAGGTTTAAACGATTAGTTCTGAAGAAATATATTTGAATATATAACTACTTAAATACTTAAAAATTTAATCGGCTTAAAATTAAATTTAAATACCTAGTAAATTAGGTATTTAAATAAGAAATATATTTAAATACAAATTATTATTATTTTTTTAATATACAAATATACATTAAATATCTACGTATCTATTAAATATTCCACTCATTACATACACTTATTTTTTTATTAAGCTTACGTTTATCATGATTTTTTTCCTAGATACCAATCTACATGAAGACCCTGCTTTATGGCCAATACAATTAAAGGAAAATGTATTGGCCATAAAGCAGGGTCTTATGAAGTATTTAAATAAGGAGTATGTTTTTTTTTAAATAAAAACTCTAATTTTGAATCTTCGAAACGAATGTTAATAAAGCTCGTTTATTGAATTTAAACTATTCTGATAAGAACAAAAAAAAAAAAAAAAAAAAAAAAAAATTGAGCTCTAATAATTGAATTCTATAAATATAATTCAGCTCTAATAACTGATTTCTATAAATATAATTCAGTTTATAAAATTATAATCTTATTATTAATTAAATTAGAGTATAATATAATGTAACATTTATAGTATAATATAATGTAACATTTATCATTTAATATATATATTTACTGCAGTGTTTTGCCATAAAACTGTTATTATACGACTGATGTATAATTATAAATCAATCGGCTAATAAAAAATTTCTTTCAACAGTTTATATTTTTCAAAATATAGCTTTTTTCTTAAAACGAGACATCTATAATATAGATGCGTGCGGCCGTGACACAGTGGTTAGAGCACTTGCTTTTTAAGCAGGAGATCGAGGTTCGAAACAAGCTTTAGACATATTTCGCGTCACGGTAAGAAAGAAGGCGTTAACTTCCTGGTTTAATGTACTTCCGTGGTGCTCTGTGACAAGACCGTTAGGACTTTTTGGGGCACCTAAAATAACAAATAATAAAAAAAAAAGATGTTTCGGCTTTAAACAGTTGTCTTGAAAGGAGCCTATGATGGTATAGCAACTATGATGGCATACCGGTCATATTCTTATAAATATTGGTTATGGCAAAAAATTAATTAGACCTACATGTTTATACTAGCTTTAAATTAGTTTTAGTAAAACTACGTCTCTTATGCACAAATATTACTTTTATAATCAACAAAAACTGATCTTTAAACTTCACTAAAAACTTTTTGGTTCAAAAAACACATAAAACGCAATATCTCTTATATGCATGCGTCAAATTCTACACTACTGCTGAGTAGCATGAAAGGGTAAATTAGGATGATTATGCATAATTTCTGACATTTCTGAGGGAAGACTCTAAGGTTAAATGAAATTGTCAAGTTCCCCTTAATGCTAACCAGCCTCATCCTCCTCTTTGCCATCATAAGAGCAGTAGTTGCATAAAATAATTTAATAATTTTTTTAAAATAAGAATAGCTAATAAAAAAATAAAACTGATAAAACTCCCAGGGTTATTATTGTTCTACATGTAACAAGGAATATATTCATATCAAAACTTTTGTTCTTGGTCTTTAAGATACTGAATAATGAAGCTTCAAAGTTAAGTATGCCATCATAGGCGCCTTTTTTCTATAATTTTTTATAAGCAATTCAAAATATTTTTATAAGCAATTCAAAATTCAAGACGTATTTAACTCTCATGAAGTTAACCAATTTTATACAAATCTTCTCGAACAAGTCTGGGTATCTGTAAAATTTAACAACAAACATATACTTATTGGTTGTATATACAGACCAAATGATGCCAGTTTAATAAAATATGTCGCTGAATCCTTCAAATTAGCTCATAGTTTAATTAAAAAGCCCTATGATGACTGTTTGATTGTCGGTGACTTTAACTTCCCGAATATAAAGTGGTCTAACGATGGTATTGAATCTTTTAACCCAAACAATCCTACCGAGTATGATTTCTGGAATATTTTCCAAAACAGCCTTTTTACTCAACATATCACATTTCCTACTTTCCAGACTGATTATGGTTCCTCAAATAATATGTTGGACTTGTTATTTACCTACAACAGTAATTCTATTTTAAACTTGTCTCCTAGTACTATACTAGGTAACACCACTAAGGGTCATTTTAGTATCACTTGGAGATTCTTAGTTTCAGAACTGTTTACCGAAAGTGAATCTCAATCGTTTAATTACAAAAAAGGTGATTACGATTCAATATCTAACTTTATTGCATCAATCGACTGGGAGTTTTTATTCCTGCATAAAACTGCAGATCAAATGTTCAATATACTAATTTCTAACTATCGCACTGCTTGCACATATTTTATTCCCAAGATTAATAAAACAAAAAAAAAGTATGATCCTTGGGTTACCCCACATATTAAAAACCTGATCCGAGAAAAAAAATCCGCTTGGCATATAAACTGCTCTACCAAATGGGAGAATAGTGAGCTTAAAATAAAATACAATCGCCTAAATCGTTCAGTAAAAACTGAAATATTTAAAGCAAAAAAAGCACATGAGAAAGAAATAATATCAAAATCCCAAAACAACCCAAAAATCGTTTACAAATATATCAACAAACAACTAAAAATTAAAGATAGAATTCGCTCTCTCAAAGATACTTCAGGCAGAATTATTGAAGCTCTTCCTGATATAGTTGATCTTCTGAACTCTCAATTTAAATCTATGTTTACACTTGAAAGCTCTGAAAATTTTCCTTTGCTAAATAAAAGTGGTATTCTTTCTGAATGCATTTATAATGAAAACTTGGATTTCTCTATCTCAGATATTATTCAGGAACTTGCCGATCTAAAGCCTTATAAATCCTTCGGATCTGACGGCTTGCATCCCTTAATACTCAAGATATGTGCCAAAAGCTTTGCAATTCCATTAACAAAAATCTTTCATAAATCCTTTAATTCTGGAGTAGTACCCACTCAATGGAAATTAGCAAATATTAGTCCGATCTATAAAAAAAAGGGAGATAAATTACTTGCTGAAAACTATAGACCTATTTCACTAACATCTGTTGCCTGTAAAATCTTTGAAAAACTTGTAAAGAAAAAAATTTTAAAGCACATTAACGATAATAAAATGCTCTCTGCAAATCAACATGGCTTCCTTCATCATAAATCATGCGTAACTAACCTAATAGAAACTTTTGATATCATTTCGTCCTCCATAGCATCTCACCAATTTATTGATGTAATCTATCTTGACTTTGCCAAAGCGTTTGACTCTGTACCTCACAACAGACTTTTGTTAAAATTAAGATCTTTCGGAATAAACGGCAAACTCCTACAATGGATTAAATCTTTTTTAGTGGGCAGAAAGCAACGCGTTACAATTAACAATACCAGCTCTGCATGGGTTGATGTTCTCAGTGGTGTTCCTCAAGGTTCTGTTCTCGGCCCGCTCCTCTTCATTCTCTACACAAATGATCTCGCAAAACTCACTGAAACTTCTGAGATATTTGCCGATGATACTAAACTTTTTTCTAAAACCTTATCGCAATCTAATTTTGTTGATCTGCAGGATCGTCTACGCTTGGTATACGAGTGGTCAAACACTTGGTTACTTAAGCTAAACACTTCAAAATGCTGCGTCATTCATTACGGTCGAAACAACCCCCATTACAATTACTTTCTTCAAAATAACCAAGGAATCAACCAATCTCTAAGAAGCTCTACTAAAGAACGTGATTTAGGAGTCATTTTTACATCTAACCTCAAGTGGAGCGCTCATATTCAAACAGTTGTCTCTAAGTCCTTACAAATTCTCGGTATGCTGAAAAAGACATTCACTTTCATTGATGAAAAAATGGCTCTCAAATTATATAAAGTATTTATAAGACCACATCTTGAATATGGAGTGTCCATTTGGGCTCCTTTTTTAAAAGCTGATATGGCTTTGGTTGAATCTGTTCAACGCAAAGCTACAAAATGGGCTTACAGCTTGAGGCATCTTCAATACTGCGAAAGGCTAAAAAGATTAAACCTACCATCACTTGAGTTTCGACGCCTTCGATGCGATTTAATCCAAATTTTTAAATTAATACATCGTTTTGATATAGTTAATGATAAATATCTACCAAAATATATTAACTCCGTGTCTCGTGGTCACCATTCTAAAATAAGGCGTGAGTATGTTCTAAACTGTCTTCCAAGATATAATCATTTGTATAATAGATCAGCAAAATACTGGAACAATCTACCAGAGCAAATAACTTTGTACTCCTCTGTACTTTCTTTCAAAAATAGACTAGACTCCTGGTTGTGGAAAAAGTTTGGAACAAATATTTATAAAACTGGTTGTTTATAGTGGGGTGTTTCCCCTGCTCGCTGTATGTGTACATTCTATGTAAATTTACGGCTACAACTATAATAATAATAAAAAAAAAAAAAAAAAAAAATCTCAAATGTTACACAGAACTACAAACGCTGCCTAACTTTTCTTTGTTAAGTATTTAGATTTATTAAAAAAGTAACACTGTTGGCGTCAACATTTCTTGACCTCCCCCTCTCCCTTTTGTCAACAATTGTCAAATTCTTCCCCTTTTTTTGTTGACATAATTAATGGACAACGACTTGAAACATAAGTAAATATGACTCTTGATATCTCAACATCACGACATTCTATTAAAAATTTGAACTCTATGGAATTAAAGATAAATCCCTAGGCTGGTTCAAAATCTTAGTAATTGTAAGCAGTTTGTTAATATCTAAGACTTTTCTTTGCCTTTATTAATGAATGTAACATGTAGTGTCTCACAGGGATCTATAGTTAGGCCCCTATTATTTTTAATATATATAAATGACCTCAACAAAGCCTCTAACTTAACCACTATAATTTTTGCTGATGACACAAACCTATTCCAATCTTATGAAAACATAAATAAACTTTTTGATAATATGACACAAGAATGAAATAAAATCTCATATTGGTTTAAGAAAAACAAATTGTCCCTCAATGTTGATAAAACTAAATGGACACTTTTTTACCCAACATCCAGAAAAAAATGTTTACCAAATACACTGCCCGACCTCTTCATTGATAATACAATACTAAAAAGGGAAAAAGTTACAAAACTTTTCGGATTTCTTGCAGACAAAAACTTATCCTACACTGTAAAAAAAAAGGGTTTTTTAAATAGCTCTAAAAGGTTTTTTACTTTGTCCCGAGGGTGGAACCCTTTAAGGGTTTTCTAGAAAACCCTTTTTTTAAAAACCTTTAATCCGAAACTAGAAAACCCTTTTTTAACTTGTACTTTTTTTTTTTATTTGAATTATAAATTATTCAAAAATTTTTTATATTGCGCAATAACGATTTCAAGCACGTATAAAGTTGGATATATATAACGTATAAAGTTTTATATTTAGGATAGATTGAATATACACTTTAATTTATAGATAATATTGCTTATATGCAAATGTTTAGATTCTTTAATTCCACTGCAATTTGGAAACTCAATAAAAAAACTTATTTAATGATGTTTAAAATCTTATAACATTAAATTAATATACAAAAAAGTTTACATAAAATAATAAAAACATTAGAGACATGTCAATAAATGTTGTACAAAAAAAAAACAAGTTGTACAAAACTGAAAAAATTGGAAAATAACGTTAAAACTATAATATGAAACTATTATGAGCAAATTTATTAAACTATTATGAGTTATCATACAAATTTTCTGCTACAAATTTAACTATTACAACTATTATATTTCAACGTTATAAGTGATATTGAAGTTTATTGAACGTTAAGACCTATTTTCAAAAATTAAATTGAGAAATCGTCTAGTAGCACAATAAAATATAATAAAATTTAGAAATATTGCAAATATTCAGAAGTTTTTTCGAATTTAGTGACAAAAAAACATAAATAAATTATAAAGATTTACAACAAAAACAGACAAAAAAACAAAAGTCATATTTTAGTGCAAAAGACGGTTGCCCCATTTGCTGACAATATTTGGCACTTTTCCTTTCCCACCAAGAAGCACTTTTTCTAAAAATTGACATGTATTGGACAATCCTTTTGGGAATTCAATGCTGAATATCCAAAATGCTGCAAACCATGCTTGAAAAGCCGCGGAAAAAGTGCAAATAGTTTTAAGAAACAAAACTTCCTTGTCGACTGATATATTCCACTCGTCGTCTTGTGACAATATGACTGGACTAAGTGGTATTAGCTGTATAAATAAATAAATAAATAAATATAATTAATTTCATTAAAAAAACAACCTGCAACAACTTAAAAACCCTTTAGTACAAAACTTTGAAAATCATTCAATTTTAAAATTTCTTATTTGAAAACATTACCATATAATACAAATTATTGCGAACTCCTCAGCTAAAGAACAACATCACTTTTTTAAATTGTGTCCTTCGTATGAGAGTATTTACATGGACTTAAAATATTCAATAACTTATTTCCTCAAACCAGTAAATTTTTGCATTTCCTTAGATGTAATATTTCCTAAAATTTCTTAGACCATCTTGTTATAAAATATATATTAGTTTATATAGTTAAATAAATAAGAAATATATTATATTGAAATCGACTATAAAAAATGGACTGTAAAAAAAAAAAGATCAAGTGCAATTTCCTAAATACTGTACAATGTACCAATAAACATCTACCTGCTTTGGTAAGGGAAAAAACAACTCTTCTTTCTCCCCAAATAATGAGGGTAACAGCAATGTAACAAACATCACCTTCCAATCTAAAAGTATTTATATCTTTAATTGTAAATATATGCAAAATAATACATTTGATAAAACTAGTATATATAAAATAGCAGTATTAGCACACATGTAATGTATTAAGAAATGGTCAAATGATTTCAAGTTAATCAATATTTGCTGGAATTACTCGTGGAATTACTAAACTCGTGTAACTCATTGCCTACTATAACTAGTATTAATTGATGTTGGAAAATTACAACTTTTATTTTACAATAAAACCAGAACTGTAAGAATGAAAAATAAAAATAAATAAAAATTACCCTGTTGTTTATCATTGTCCAAAGTTTTTTCTAAATATTTGTTTATCATTCTTGAATATTCACAATATTTTTTGCATCTTTTGGCTGCTTCTTTGATCACACCATCATAAAGGGTTAGAAATTTTATTTTTAAATTGGTTACATCTACACCATACAGCAAAAGCACATCTGCTGTAAACTTTAATTTAAAAAAATCATTTGTAAAATTCACCTACATTATGTTATTACAAAAATAAGCCTATACTTTAAAATTTAAATGTTCATAAGGTAATAATTTTTATATAGTCTTTCATAACTGTCAAAGAAAGTCAATAAAAATATTGTAAAAAAAAGTACATTTTATAAAAGAACAATAGTTCTTTATATAATCTTACAAAAATATTTAGTCGTAAACACGGAAATTCTTCCAGAACTTCTGCAGTTGTGTGGGTATGGCAGAAAAGTTGTCTGTACTCACAAGTTCTTTTCATTTTATCTTTGATTATATCAAAGCTTGGTGTCTGTTTTTTTATTTCATTTTTTAAAGCATCTTGATGTTTTTTTATGCTTATGTCATCCTCACCTTGTACCACATTAGCCAACTAATAAAAAGAAGTTACAACTGTACATAGAGTGGTATATTATCTTACAACAATCAGCTTGTGAACAGTAACCAAAATATACATTTTTGACATGATATACTTTTGACATTTAAATAATATCACATTAAAGTAATTATACAAGGTTATAGCAAGTAATATGTATATACATTATTACATATGATATATACAACTATATATATATATACAACTATAAATATATACAACTGATATTGATTTCGCTATAACTATGGATTCATTCCCTTCTATATCTAAATTAAGTAACAATCTTATAGCTTCTTGTACTTTAACATCCAAGTTATGAAAAAATCTAGGTGCGTTTCCAGACACAGTATAATTAGATAAAAGCATATCACCTGTCAGCATTTCTCAGCACTGCAACATTTGATGACGCTTTGACAATGTTTTGGTAATATTCTTAAAATATCGTCCATTTGAGGCAGCTTTTTTAAAATACTGATGTTTAGATTCAAATCGTAAACACCAAAAATTTCGTAAAGGCCCAAAAAGACGTATCAGACGAGGGTAATGAACAAGCATGTGCATTTTTGGAATAATATATTCAGAACCAAATACTTCAGAAAATGTTTTCAAAAACATAGCAACTAGTTCTTCTAACATGTATATACTGTCACTATCTACAATTGGGGCAATAACAATGTCACATATTTCACGAAGTATAAGATAAACCTCCCAGCCAATATTTCCATGTGGTACATCATTACCGACTAACTGCAGAAACAATAGGAAAAGTTCTAATTTCTGTACAGCTGTTCCATTTATGTGTGCTTTATCTGATGCAATGTTTTTAGGTAATTGGCAAGGGCGATTAGATGAATTAAATGAATTTTGTTTATAGAATCGTTTATATTATTTACTGATAATGTATTACAAGAACGTAACAAATGTTTGATAACACATTTCAAAGTTACTGGCATAATGCCTTCAAATAAATCATGCATTATATCTGGAGGGAAAGCTGTAAGTACATCAAAGTTATCTAACTCTAAAAAATCACACTTTTTGCTAACACCATACACATTCTTGTTTGCTGCATTATCAATTATAGCAGCTAAGTGGTATTCATGAATTTCTGGTGTTCTGAGACGAAGAGTGCTTTCACTAAAGTTATTTCCAACTTCTGACTTGTCCACCATACAGAAACGACAAATTCTTCCAGTATGGAAATACTGCTAAAATCCTCCTATAGCATGAGCTGAAAGCATATCAGCTGATATACCTGTAAGTTTGCCTTTTAAACGTTGACGTAATCCATTAACGGAAATCTCAATTCCTTTTCTCTGCAGTACATTTAAATCATAAATTAATGGATGAAGAACTTCAGTGTAGTCATATTCGGCCATTTTTATAAATTTATGTTCAATCAATAAAGCCAAATGAATAAACTTTTGCTTTGAACGAAACTTAGATGGAATATTGCCTAACAAAAAATAAAATGCAGTCACTTTATGCTTCCCTCGCTTAGCTCCTATTGGATTGCAAAGCTCAACATCTACATATAACTGAATCTGCAATGCACTTGGATTTTCAGAAAAAAAATTGTCACTATGAAAAAGTTCACTGTCACAAAAAGACATCATAAAATCATTATTAGAAAAAGACTGATTGTAACTGTCACCCAAACAATTGTAAACATCTTCATGGGAAACTAATTTTGATAAAACTTCTAGAATCAGAATGTATTGAAAAACAGCAGTTGTATTATTTTTTCTAAAATCTATTTGTCTTGGCATTGCAATCATTTTTTTGCTTTTCAATAATCCAATTAGTCTATTTTCATTTGAAGACATCTCACCCATGAATTGCAGCAATCTTTCTGTGTCTGTTATATGTGCCCAATCATTGTCTAGTGGTAAAATATTATTTTTGAATAAATATTGACATATAACATCCTTAAAACTACTTAGTGTAATCAAAAGTAGGTTTTGTATATCTTTTGCAATTTCTGCATGAACAGAAGCTGGAAGTATGTGCACTTCTCTGAGTCGCAAAGAAGAAATGCAAAATGTTTTTCCAAAGTGTTAAGCATATCAGCAATATTTTTACATTTAAAATCTTGATCTAACTTTACATTATTTTGATCATTTGATTCTTCGGTTGTTTCAGATGAATCTATGATGTTATCATTTCTATTATTTCTACTCCCCTGATCTCTTTCATTATCATTAGACCAGCTTCTAAATAAATTACTGTGCTTTCATTGAACATGTTTTTTTAGACTATTAGCACTTTTGAAAGTTTGCTTGCATGCACTTGAAACACATCTAACGTAAAAAAGAGGCTGATTTTCATGAAACAAGATAAGATGTCGTTGATGGAAAGATGGAAAGTATTTACTTTCCAAATGAAAAATAATTGTTGCCACATTCACAATAAAATTGGGGCATATTTGGCTATTGTATATTATCAGGAATCTGAAATGTAAACAGTACAGTTAAAATGTTTACTATAAAATGCATAATAATAAAAAAATTACTTTCAAATTCGGCTGCAGTCTTTTCATTAAATCCATTATCTAACAGCTATTTGGCTACTTCTGCAGGCGACCAGTTTTTAATATTTGCAGACATAATTCTTTAACTTTATTATTAGTTTTACTTTAAATTTTAATTATTAGCTTTACTTTAAAATTGTAAAAATATTTTAATTGACCTATAGGAATCTCATAGATAAATCGGTTAACTTAAAAAGTATACAATTTTGCGTATTTTACTTTAAAAATTTTAACAAAATACAATTTTAAGTATAATAAAATAAAAATACTATTTATTTTATTTAAAATATCATATTTCTAGGCAATTGTAATTTTATTTAAAACCCTTTCTATTTTTATCCTTCTTTAATTATGCCTCGATATCAATAAACGGCACTCGGGTTTTTTATATGATTTACGACGAACAAACCCTTTGCTAAAGGGTTTTCTAATAAAACCCTTTCAAAAAACCTTTTTTTACACACCAAAAGGTTTTCTAGTGGTAGAAAACCTTATGCAAGTGTGAAAAACCTTTTTTGGAAACCTTTTTTTTTTACAGTGTAGAAACAACAAATCGATAATATCTCCTTTGAAGTTGCTAAAAGTATTGTAATTATATATAAAGTTCGACATATTTTAAATAAACAACAATTAAAACAACTATATTATTCGTATATCCACTGTCATTTAAATTATGCAAATATTGTATGGGGAAGCGCGCACAAAACTAAACTTAAATCTCTTTATCAGCATCAGAAACACGGTTTAATTTCGCTTAATTAATTTTGTAAAACGTTGAATTAATTTTTGGCTCGCTTGGCTCGCTTAAAAATTGGCTCGCTTAAATAATTTTGTAAATCGTTTTTCAAATTCAAAACCACTTCTGAGAGAAATGAAAGCCTTAAATGTATACGAACTAAATGTTTATAATATTTTATGTTTCATGTTTAAATGTAAAAATCATCTATCTCCTGATGTATTTATAAACCTTTACAATGTAAAACAAATAAACAAATAAAATCTTCGCAATGGAAAAAATCTACAAGAACCTTTTTGCCAAACTAAAATGGAACAACTAATTACTTCTTATCGCGGTCCTTATTTATGGAATAAAATAGTTTTGCTATTTTGATTTGTCATTGAAATGGACTTTAACTTTTTTCAAACGAAAATTAAAAGAAGTTATCTTTTCAGCCGAAAATATTTTTTCTTGTTTTTAGTTCTTTTGTTTCACAAATTTCATATAATTTATCCAGTATATTTATATTTTAAATGCACAGTTATATATAATTTATGTTGATTTATTTTTATTGCTTAATTTGATTTTATTGTTATTATTATTATATTTGATATTGTAAAGGGCTTCATGATAAGATCGTATGATCTTCTGGAAGTCCTGCCGATTGTATTTGTAATAAAGCTTTACTGTAACTGTAATATTTTTATTGAAGGCAAATAAATTTACAAAAAAAAAAAAAAAGTTCTTAAACAAAATTCTCAGTTGACTCTTGATATCTCAAATTCTCATGGAGCCGCAAAAAAAGTTAAAGATATTGAGAGTCAGAGATATATAGAGGATTTTGGCCCAAACGAGTGCGCAAGGGACTGATAATAAAGTTTAAGATAACTCTAAACAGCAATTCCACAGCCTCGATGTTTTGCTTTTATCGTTTTATAATGTCTATATGTATATAGCATTTTTTTTAAAACTTATACTATTTTGGCAAAAAAATATATGCTTTTTAGGATCCATCCATAAAGGACGTCATCCAAATAGGGAAGGGGGGGAGAGGATCGAGTTAAAAAGGACAAAAAAGGACAAGGGTAGGGGGAGGGAGGTTATCAGAAAAGGACGTCACTTAATAGATTTTTTATTTTAGTTTAATTAACATGGAAAATTACGTAATTATGTGTTTTTGAGAACTTAATGTATGAGAATATTTTTAATTTTATTTTTCGAAGGTGTAGCAGCAGATTCAAACATCATTGCAAGATGAAATAAATTTTTTCGGAGTTAAAAATAGGGAGGGGGTAAGGATTTTATGACGTCCTTTTCCAGGGCGGTTTAGGGAAAAAGGACAACTGTGACCAAAGAGGGGGAGGGGGTCAAAAATTGGCTAAAAAAATGGTGAGGTCCTTTATGGATGGCCCATTAGGATAAATTTTTTTTTAATTTCTATTTTATGAGATGTTGCAAAAATAAGATCGTCATTGCGTGACAAATCGATGTCACGTTATGACGCGCGTGTTTTGAGCTATATCTGTAAATGTAAATAAAAATTATGAAAAATTTAGTTTTTATCATACAGTTAGGTTATTGCAATTCTATAATCAAGTTTATATTTTATATTTAAAATGTAAATGCCGCAAACTTAAATTTTCTTTATTAAAAACGCATTGACGCTTAAACGCATTGACTTGTTATGCTGTAAAATTCTAGATATCGTTAAAATTGTTTTACCGCGAAACGTTAAAATTGTTTTACCGCCATTTCACCGATAAATATTATATCCATAGTAACGTTACAAATAAATGGTAATTTTTTTTTCTTTATCATAAAATGATAAAACTTAATAGGTTTAAGCATTTTGGATACTGTATTTTAGTTAAGTATCATTACCATTATGTATTGTAAAATAACATTTCTAATTTTAGTTTAAATAGCGTATTTTTATTTGAAAGTAGTTTTGTTTGTAGTTTTTAATAAATAAGCTTTACTTTAATAGTTAAACATTTGTTTATTTAATACAAACTTAAAAAATTATAGAGTAATCCCCATAATAATTTCTTACTAAACATTAAGTTATTTTAAAACTAAAATATCTTAATAGTATTTAAATGGGTCATGATGCGTATTCTCAATGCATATTCTTATCAAATATGTATGTCATAACAGCACATGTTTCTTAATTAGAATAATAACAAAAATCAAGAAAAGTTCAGTAAGTTTGTAATCAATCAATCAATCAATCATATATATTCTGAAAAATTATTTTCATGGATACTTACAAATAGTAATTCTACTAATCTTAAGTAAACACCATAAATACAGAACTTTATATATATGATTAGTAATAGTTATAAAAATAGTAATGATAATAATAATAATAATAATAATAATAATAATAATAATAATAATATCAATGACAGTAACAATAATGATAATTAAAAAAAGAATAAAAAAGCACTGAATCATTAATTAGAACAAAAGAACACTAAATTACAACAGTAATACTGTTGTAGCGAAGAAGAAAATAAATATAAATTGCTTTTTGAATTATTTAAATAGGCATGCAAATAAGCTTACAACACCTGTAATATTTAAATTCATAAGATAATAGTTTAGTAATTGCAAACAAACTTTGGTGGATCAAGCTGCATAAAATTTTTTTCTTTGCTATGTAGCTTTTGTTGGCCAAATTTTTTCTCCAAAAACATTAAGGCTTTCTAAGTCAAGCAATTTTTTTATTAGTTCTTAAAGTATTTGTAAACAGTACCTCAATTAACAATAATTGTTTGATAGTGTTTTAAACATTGAAATTCTTTCATACAATTCTATATTGTTTTAGTGATTTCTTATATTAATATCTCTTTGACATTTGTGTTTAAAAGTAATTCATATTTATTTATTTTTACAACTTTAATGCTTACCATTCAATTTATTCTTTAACGTGTACCAAAGTTTTGTAACCCAGTTTCAAATAAAAGTTACTTACAATATTTGACCTTGGTGCAAAAATTGCCAGTAACTGAATTTCTCATATATTATTCATTTCCTATTTTTCTTTGCTGTGTTTTCTATTTTCCTACACATGATTTTCTAAATTGTCATAATGCTGTTGTGATAAATAAAACATCTTAACAAGAAGAATTAATATGTGCCACCTTCAATGGCCACACTCATTTTATTGAAAGGCATAGATGTGGGCTATATTTGGTTATAGTATTTAGCTACATATGGGATATATGTTAGGTACTAGCTGTTTTTGGTATTATGTTGCTTCAAGCATCTTTCTATTCAAGTAGATAGTTTATACTAAAATTAGAGTAAACTTAAAAATAAAAAAAATCTTTAATTACCTAGTAGCTATCTTATTTGAAAAGTAAGTTTGAAAAATCAACATAAATAAATCACTTTTAAAGATGCCATTTTTTGTATGATTACAAAAAAATTGATTCATTAAAAATATGTAAACAAAATTAAAGCATTCCAGCAGAAGTTTTTTATTTTTTCTGCATCATGTTAAAGTTTTCAAGCTTAAAAGATGTGCTTTTTTTTTTTTAATTTAAAGATATCTGAAACTTTTTTTTGCTAAATCTAAACCCAATTAAGTTGCAATATATAAAACCATGTTTTTTTTTATGAATATTGTATTTAAACATTACAAAACTAGTTTAAATATCTTTAACATTATATTTATTAATTGACTTAATGGCTAATTAATTAATGGCTCATTAATAAAAAGAATAAAATTAGTTGTAATGCTGTCAAAGTCTCTAAAAAATAAAATAAAGCATGTTTTTTAAAATTAACCAATTTAAAGAGTTACCATTGAAAAGTTGATAAAATTATTCATATTACTTTGAATAAAAAATAAATTGAAGTTTAAGAAAAAAAATTGAGAAAGAAAGAACACTAACGACAACATGAAAAAAAACAAAAACACAATAAATTAAATTTTAATTATTTAAGTATTAAATTTTTTTTCAAGTTTTCAAACTTTTTTTTTTAATTATTTTAATTTATTACTAATTAACTGTAGAAATATATTTTAATAAAAAAACTAAAGCTTGTTATGTAATAAGAAATCAAAACAGTTTATTATTGAGCAGTAAAAAAGTGGACACTCTTAAATAAAAAAATACATATTTGGTTTGCAGTTGAGGATTGCAAAGGAAATATTTGTTTAATTTGATAAAATAAATTATATTTGATAAATATTATGGCATAGGGTTAATCAATATTTAAAGAGTAATTCTTTATTTTTATTTTTAGAACATAATTACTTTGCTTATAGAATGGGTTTGTTGTTAATTGTTTTTTTAAAAAATTCCAATTTTTTATGGCAAGGTTTATAAAAAAAAATTGTTGCAATAAAATAACAAAAATAAATTTTGTGTTGTGTGTGTCCATTACTAAAAATATGCAGTATAAGATTTAACATTAAAGTTATTGAGAAATTTAATACAAAAGCAACTTATTTGACAACATGGAGTTTTTTAATGGTAAAATTGCAAGTGTCAAAAATTCAATTATTCTATCCATATGAAAAACTTAAATCTGCCCATATAAAGGACTTCATATGAAAGACTTTAGTTTGAGTTCATTTTATTATACCTTGTTAATGATATAGTTTTAATGTTTGTTCTTGACTTTTGTGAGTTGGCATTTCATTTAAATTGAAAATTTTTACAAGACTAAAAGTTTATCTGTTATTATTTCGAAAGAGTATTTAGTACAAGTTAATTGATAATAATAATAAAAAAAGGTTTAAGTAGTTTGAAGAATAACATTCATACTAGTAGGTTTTTCTAGTAAAAGTCTTCATTTTACTGTCAATAAAGTTAAGATAAAATGAAAATAAAAAAATTAAAATGAAGATGAAAAGTTTAATATAAAAAAAAATAAAATTTAACATAATCATTATAAAAAGTTCACTATTTTTAATATCATTTGTTTAGTATCAAACTGAAAATTTAAACAGAAAAGACTGTGATGAAAAGAAAATAATATTGTTTACCTGGAATAACAAACAGATGATAAATTAAATATATAAAATATTTAAGTATAATTAAAAAAATGTATTGTACACATATAATCAGCCACTGTTTATCACATAATGAAATACATTGCAATGCAATGTATTTCATTATGTGCATTATATTATACAATGATTGCATAATATAATGCAAAAATATTCAATTTTCAAATAACAATGTCTAAACAAAAACTTTTTTACAGTGTAAATGACATGTGGGAAACCAAGAAAGGTCTTCATCTTTATCATATAAAGAAATGCAATGCATTTCATTATATGAATTGTACACATATAATCAGTGCCTGATTATATGTGTACAATTATTTGGTGATTATTTCCTGGACCCAGAAAATATTATAAAATTCTTTTTTTTAAATCAATTAATACATTTATCTATTAATACAATTAATATATAAATCTAATTTTGAAATCCAAAATAAGTGTTATTCTTTTGCCAGTTCTAAATTTTTTATCAAAACTTTTTAGCACTTTAACTCTTTTTCAGAAAAAAGCTTCATGTTTAAACTGCGCGTTTCCAAAATTAATGTGGGTTATGCCTATAATGTATCGGGCTTCAATATGTTATTATTTGCAGATATATATATATATATATATATATATATATATATATATATATATATATATATATATATATATATATATATATATATATATATATATATAATGTTATTATTATTTTATTAGAAAATGATTTTTAAAATGAAGAAGCAGCTTTTGTCATCTTTTTTTAATATCACTGTTAACATTATATTTGTTGGCGGCCTAATTTTATCAAAAAGTTCAATTGAGTTCTGTGAAAATACAGGATCAAGCAATGATCTAAAGGATCCTACAAATGTAGTAACCCAATCAGCATGTGAAAAAAAGATGGTTGTTTTGTTGTCTGTTGGAAATAAGCAGGTTTAATTGAGTTTAAAGTTGTTTTGTAAATGAAGTATTCATCAAAAAAAAAAAAATAATAATAATAATAATAATAACTTGCCAAGAGTTTGTGGTTATATTAAATGTTTTTAATATGGAGAAATTTTTTTAATTTAGGGAGAAACTGAAAAGCTTCAGGCTGTTGTTTCTGTTGTTCAAAACTCAGCCACAAATGAATTTGCAAGACTATATAATCCATTTATGATAACTGTTTCAAAATCACCTGTTTATCTTAACTTCCCATTCTTTTTTAATGGGGTAAGTACTTGACTTAAATAATAATGTAAAAATTTACACAAATTTGTTTTGTGTTTTTGTTTATTATGAATTGTACATCATAATTACCACTTTTTTAAAGATTATCATCCACGATTCTACACTAGTGTGGTTTGAACAAATTCTGCTTACCTATTTAATTTTAAGTATGACATTAATAATATCATACTTAAAATTAAACTAATATAGTAGTTAACAGATAAAAGCAATTTTTAATGTGTTTTGTTTGAGTCAATTAGTTTGGAATGTGTACAAAAATTTTTAGGTAATTTGTTAGAAATTATTTAGAATTAGATGAAATTAACCATGTTTATTACAAAACCATTTTTATAACAAAACCTTTTTTTGTTACAAAACCATGTTTATTTCAAAACCATGTTTGTTACAAAACCTTGTTTGTTACAAAACCATGTTTATCACAAAACCATGTTTGTTTCAAACTTTGTTTGTTGCAAAACCTGAGCTAGAGCTAAAGCAAAAAATTCTGGAAACCTAAAATTGTTCAAGAAAAAATCTAAACATGTGAGAAAGATCAATGAAAATATACATAATTTATAAAAATATTTTTTTGATGTTGTTACAAGGTAACATGTGAAATAATAAAAGACAAGATAAATTTGTAAAATATTAACAAACCATAACAAAGTTAAAATATCTCATTTACTCTATACATTAGAGAATGAGCTTGAACAGCTTAAGCTGATTTTTTTTAATTAGTTTTTTCTTTACAATATATTAAATATTATTTGTATTTTTTGTATATAGAATAAAATCAAATATTTATTATTTATTTCAGCATATTATATAGGGAATGAAAATTGATAAAATTATTGTTAATTCAAAAAAAATAAATTGCAAAAAATAATTTTTGACCATTTAGTTAAATAAATTGCAAGTATTAAGTTGTTTTTTTAAATCTTGGTTCTCATCAATATTTTTAGAAGCATAAACTTCTAAATTTTTTATTATTTTTATTTTATATGTTTTCTTTTGATGCATTTATGTGTTACTTATTTAGCATAGATGAGTATTTGACTTTATGAAAATACTGGAAATTTTATTCTATGAAAATCCTGGAAAGTTGTTAGATTAAAAATTGATCGTTTTAACAGACAACAAAAACTTTTGTAAACTTTTAAAATGGAATTTAGAATATTTAACCTTTTTACAAAAAGGAATTTATAATATTCGAAAAAGTTAATTTAAATGAATTAAAAAGCAAAAAAAAAAAAGAAAAAAATTGTTACGAAAATTGATCTCATGAAAATTTTAATTATAGAAAACATATTTTTTTAAATGCAAAAGTTGTCCTATTTAAAATTTTATATAAAATATATAATTTTTTTTTCAAATTAATAAAAAAAAACATCCGGAAATTTTTGAAAAATTAAAGGAGTTTTAAGTGAATTTCCGGAATTCCGGTAATTCCTGTAAAAAACTCATCTATGATTTAGTTCAAAAATTTTCAATAATTTATTTTTTTATTCTACTTGTCATTATCATTCTATATAATCAAAAAAATAATATGTAAGTTTTATTTTTATTTCTGAATATAAGCTTAATTCTCCTTGTGGTGACCTGATTGTAAAACTTAAGGTTTTGGATAAAACTGCTAAGAAAACAAAAAATGTATCTCTGTCCAAATCTACAATTAAAAGCAGAATTGTTGATGAGTTAGAATATTGAGCAGCTAGTCATTGCTAGAATTAGAACAATTCCTATGTTTGCTGTCCAAGTTAATAAACTTCTAGATGTTAGCTATCTGGCGCAACAGATCTGATGTGTGAGATAAATTTGTAATGAAAGCATGAAAATATTTTTCATGCTTTGATTGAAAATTTGAGTTTCATTTAAGTTTTTTTTCTTTTTTGCTAAGCCAAAGATGAAGGCATTTTTAAAACTTTGAATCCTTATTTTGAGAAACAAGGAATAGGAAAAAATAGTAGGTAAATAAAAATGAATAGGAAATAATAATATTTGTAACAACAAATATCCGTTAGTGTAACAACCATGGTGCATGATCAATGATGGGTAAATATATATAATTAAAAGCCATTTTTTATATAATTTTTTTCCAAGAAAAAATACTGACAGGATATTTAAACGAAGCTGGATATTTAAAAAAATCAGTGACGCAAACTGCATCCCTGATTTTTTTATAGCATCAGTCCGCGTTACAAAAGTAATAAATTCAATAATGTTTAATGCTACTTCCTGTAAACTTTTTACAAAACTCTGCAAAAAAAAACTTTAGTGACACCCTAGTGAGGTAGGTTTATTAAGAAAAAAAAATGTTACTAAATAGTAGATTTATAAACAAGAAACTGGAACCAATATTATTGATGTGTGTATGAAGTTCATATATATCAACAGTTTACTATTGATATATATGAAAGTTCATATTTATCAATAGTGTTGTATGTTTGTGTGTATGTATGTATGTATGTATGTATGTATGTATGTATGTATGTATGTATGTATGTATGTATGTATGTATGTATGTATGTATGTATGTATGTATGTATGTATGTATGTATGTATGTATGTATGTGTGTATGTTTGTGTGTATGTTTGTGTGTATGTATGTATGTATGTATGTATGTATGTATGTATGTATGTATGTATGTATGTATGTATGTATGTATGTATGTATGTATGTATGTATGTATGTATGTATGTATGTATGTATGTATGTATGTATGTATGTATGCATGCATGCATGTATGGATGTATGTATGCATGTATGCATGTATGCATGTATGCATGTATGCATGTATGCATGTATGCATGTATGCATGTATGCATGCATGCATGTATGTATGCATGCATGCATGTATGCATGCATGCATGTATGCATGTATGCGTGTATGCATGCATGCATGTATGCATGTATGTATGCATGCATGTATGTATGCATGCATGCATGTATGCATGCATGCATGTATGCATGCTGCATGTATGCATGCATGCATGTATGCATGTATGCATGCATGCATGCATGTATGCATGTATGCATGTATGCATGTATGCATGTATGCATGTATGCATGTATGCATGTATGCATGTATGTATGTATGTATGTATGTATGTATGTATGTATGTATGTATGTATGTATGTATGTATGTATGTGTATGCAGAGGCATATTTATCTTTTCAGCACCCTGGTGCACTGTTCCTTTAAACCCCTTCTTTTAAGAATATCTGTCAACTTTGATATGCGGTGATTTTTAAAAAACAAAAACATTTTTAATACAAACATATTTATTAAAATAAATTAATCACTTATAAAATTATAATTTTTTACTTGATTTTTGTTTAGCAAATGCCTTTATAATGTCATTTAAGTTAAAATCTATGGTAAGATTCAATAGGTAGAGTTGTTATGTTGATTTTAGGTGCCCTAAGAAGTCCTCACGGTCTTATCACAGAGCACCGCGAAGAGCATTTAATAGGAAGTTCACGCCTCCTTCCTAACCGATGTCGCAAAGCTTGCCCAGAGGTGGGGTTTGAACCACAGATCTTACGTTTCTGAGGCAAGTGCACTACCACTGCGCCACGGCTGCTGTTGCTAACCTATTAAGACGATCACCAGTCATTCCTGACCTCAAATAAGATTTAACATAAATAGTTTTATTGGCTTCATCATAGATTTGAAATAAAAAGATAAATTTTTTATTGGCTTTATCATAGCACAATTTTCTTCTATTGAGTTCAGAATGTAGTTTATCAATATTAGCATAATATTTGTTAAATGATAATTATTTGCCATTATTTAAATTTATGTGCAAAAATGGTACAGCAGTGTACATTAATACAAAGAAAATTTGTATTAAACTAAAATACTATTCAAAGAAGTATAAAACACATAAAATCTTATTTTACATACGTAGCTATGTAAAAATTTTGAATTTTTTTTCAGAGGTTGCTGGCATGAAATTAGTACTTTTAACTTTTATTATAACACTCAATTTAATAAGTGTGATTAAACATTTTTGAAGCTCACTATTTGCGGTGCCAAAAATTGCTTTTTTTGCGTCAAGTTCTATCAAATAATTTTTATGATTATTGTACTAAAAAATATTAAATACCATTATCAAATCTCCACATTTCTTTTGTAAAAGTTATTGGTTTTGAAGTAATTATTTGAAAAAATTTAAATAATCAATTCAATCCTCAACTGTTGATTGTTCAAATGTACTAATAGAATATTATGTGTTTATTACATGTATTGTGTGTTAAATGGATCCAGTGAGGCAAGAGTATACGGAAATATATCAAAGTAAATCATTTGATATATCAAAAACAAAGGCTTTTATGTACTAAGTTTACATGTAACAAAGTTGTTAAGTCACAAGTTTCATGTATGATTTTGCTTGAAAAGTTGAAGTCAAATTGGGTTCATTAAAAATATAAAAGTTAATTGTCATAAGATTTATTCAATAAACTAGAAAACTTCTTGAATAAATTTGATATTTAGAAATACTTTTAAATAATGAATTAAAACTTTTATAATAACTTGATGTAGTCTTACATTCCAGAAGTTGAAATAAGTTGTTCAAAAACTTGAAATTTTTTAAATTTAAGTGTTAAAAGATGGAAGAACATGTTGATAATAATTCTGGCATTTCTTAGAACATAAATTTTCTATCCAGTTCACTCAAGGATTCTAACCTAACATTTTTCAAGTTTGAGCTTTAACTGGTTTCAAACAAGCAGTTAATGCCACAAAAAATTAAAAAACTCAACAACTACTTAGATACTAATGGCATTTTTGTTAAATAAATTTTTAAAAGTTTATAAAGTTCTCAGGAAGCAGATCAAAAATATGGAACCCAATAATAGTTGCTTAACGTTTTTTTAGTTAAACATGAATAAGGTAAAATGAATAGTAAAAATCCTGAATAGGATCTATGACAACTTAAGTACCATTGTCTGCATTTTTTCAATTAAATGACTTAAATAAATTTGAATTAATTGCTTTAAATACAATTTTCTTTAATACGGAGAATAGCAAAATTATAATCAATATATAATAATAGTATAATTATAATCAACCTTTTTCAAATTAAAATCTATTTAAAAAGTCTAAGAATTAAAAACAATAATAGTTTCATCATAACTTATTTTATTTAGATAACAGTAAATAATCAACCTTATGAAGAAATAATTTTGAGCAAAAATCGTTGGTATGTTTCAGATAGTTCTCGTCAATGTTTAGACCAATGGCAAGTGGAAGAAGAAGATGACGAACATCCAACTTGTGGCTACCAATATACAAACAGCACTCAAAAACAAACTGATGGAACATGGAAGACTGTCAAAACAAGAATTTGGGACAGCCAGGTTACTTTTTAATTAAATTTAGAAATATTTATTTTTAAAACATGATATCATTCCTACTGATAATTTAAAGAGTAGTTCAATGGTTAACTTTATGGGAAAATGTGTTTATAGCTATGTTTACAGTTAAGTTCCATTCAAGAAAGCAGCAACCAATTGTGATTTACAATTTGATTTATTATTTATTAGCTTTGTCAATTGTCCATGTTCTATTTAATTTAATGTTTAATATTCATATTTATAGACATTTTGAAATTATAGAATATTTATCTAAAACAAATCTTTATCCTAAATGCATTTAAATGCAAAAAAAAAAAAAAAAAAAAAAAAATTCTGATATCACTAGGATAACATTGACATCTCTTTGAAAATGTTTTACTATTTTTTAGCTGTGACAAAATTCAAAATTATAAAAGTTTTTGTTGTTAAAGTGCAACTATTGATGTTGCCCTATATATAGGGTAACATTGACAGCTGTATATTTTATGCTGTAAATGTTAAATTTGCATTATTTGGGGTAGTATTATAGACATTTTGATAAGCAAAATAGAGAAAGCTCTTTAAATAAATATTAAAACCAATTTAAGAACCAAAAAAAGCATAGCATTCCACCAATATTCTCTTTATTTTTTTTCTTTTTTAGTCACTTTTCTCAGGTTGTCTGTTTTAATGATGTTTTTAAAGTAGACTTCTAGTTGCTTTTTTTCTCAACTTCCTGTATTTTATCTGAAAATTCAGATTGTACTTCTATTAAGTTTATAATGATCATATCATTAGATGTTGGTGTAACCTTGTTTTAATTGGTATTATCACCTGTGTTGATGATTACACACAATTTTGAGGTTTTCTCAATGGCAATTTTTCACTGGTAATTTTGCTTCACTTTAGTAAAAATGTTAAGGTTCATACTGGTACATAAAATGCAGTAGTAGACTAGTTGTACAACACTTGGCTCACAATCAAGAGGTTTAAGTTTATTCTATGCCTCTGGAAGTGCTGTGCTCAACCTGTTTTTCTACACAGCAGCCTTGTTTAACAATAGTCTTATTAAACAATAATCTTGTTAAACAATGGCCTTGTTTAGCAATGGTTTTGTTTAACAATGACCTTGTTTAACAATGGCCTTGCTAAACAATGGCTTTGTTTAACAATAGTCTTGTTTAACAAGGCTTTTGTTTTGGAATCTACAATTGACGGAGAGTTGCTATTAGAAATAAAGAATTTAAAGAAGTAAACTAGCCTACTTGACTATTGGTATGTAGCATGTGTTAAATGTTTAATTTTATATGTTTTGTCCTTGGTACTCTATTCTAGATTGTGTTGATTTCATCTGCTGTGATGTCCTACATGTCCCATATGTCTTGGAGTAGAGATGCCATGAATATTTGGCCGAATATTCTGCAAGACTTATTTATTTTGAAGGTTCCAACCTGCTTTGCTGTAGTACACAAGTCAACTACATTTACGAATAGGTTGTGTCACAAAACGCATTATTTGTTAACTGTTACACCAAATATTTTAATTACAGTTATGCATAAAAGTTTCATACTCTTCAAACCATTCAGAAAAATTTAAAAGTAATCAGCTCATGTGTATCTTGCACTTCTGAGGTAATTTCAGAAAATGCTATAGGTTGATTTAGCATTAAGAACTCTAAACTTATTAAAAATGATATTTTTACAACAACCTGAACTTAAAGCATGGTTTAACTTTAATAGGAAAGATGATTAAATGGTTGTCTTTTTTCTTTAGTCACCAAATATTTGTGACATCTCTATCTTGGAGACTATTAATAGGTGAAAGAACTTCTAAAAGTATGTCTTCTAAAAGTAAATATGTTAAATTTAACTTTTATTTTGCTATACTTTTGGTGTTCTACATGCTATAAAGATTTAATTGAGAACATGAAAGTTATATTTAAGTAGCATAAGAGTAATTGAGATTATGTCAAGTTTAAATAAGAAATAAAAGATGTGATTAGGAATACATAAATTGTTAAGTTTAGAATAAGAAAGTTGCAATTAAGAAAAGATGTAGTTCTAAAGACATATGATGCAATTTGAAACTTATAAGATGTAATTAAAAAATAAATCATTTAAGAGATGAACAGATTCTATACGTTGACCAGCTAGAATCTGTTATGCACCCCTTCTTCATCTATTAGGTTGGCGTAGATGTATTTATAACAGTCGAGGACAGTAAAAGCGTGAGATTGCATGCTATTCCTGACCACGCATTTAATTTGTTTTTGCTACTACTTGACCATATATATGTATATGTATATATATACATATATATATATATATATATATATATATATATATATATATATATATATATATATATATATATATGTATATATATACATATATATATATATATATATATATATATATATATATATATATATATATATATATATATATATATATATATATATATATATATATATACATATATATGTATGTATGTATGTATGTATGTATGTATGTATGTATGTATGTATGTATGTATGAATGTATGTATGCAGAGCCGGCTTCTGAGTATTTCTTAGTGTATGCAAAAAAAAATACGCCACCAGCCGGCACTATATGTATGTATATACATATACAGGCTTGGCCAGGAAGGCGTGCAATTTCATGTCATAATATGACCACGCAAACACTATTAATTTTTATTTAACTTGACCACGGCTGTTAATATGTTTTGAAAATTTGTATACTTTTAAAAACGCGCTAAAAAAAATATCTTAACTATAAATAAACTTAGAAAAAACTTATCGTAAAAGAAGCAAATAAATTTTGGTGAAAGAAATATCTTAACTAAAACTAAAATAGCAGAAACAAAATGAAAACTTATCAAAAATAAATAATCTATAGCAATAAGTTTATCTAAATTATGTTTGGAATAAATAACTTTGAATCGTTTGTCTTTACTAATGTTTTTATAATATAATATTATGTGAAAGCTTTTATATAAACTAACAACAGGGTAATTCCGCATCCAATCACCCAAAATTTAGGAAATTTTGAACCATGGTTCATCAAATTTTTTAAAAACTTCTTCGGCTGTTGCATCTTAAAAAGTTAGCACATAAAATTTCAGCTTAAAATTTTGAGCGGTTGACAAGATACTGCAATATTAATATTGAACTGGTTTCCCAAAATGACCTGGTTTTCATAACATTCTAAAAAAACATTTTTCTTAAAAAAATAAGAAATAAAAATAGCAAAAATATGAAAATAAGCATATATAATGTTTTTTTGAAGCTGAATTCAATAAATGTACTTAAAATGCTGAAATATAAAAGGAACATGCTTAAAAGTTAATAAAACAACTAGTTTCTCTAAACCAACTTTGGGTCCCAATATCTCAAAACACCCCAATCAAAAAAATTTTTTTTTTGACTGTTAATATTTTCAGCTGCTTATAATCTTACTAGTTTAAAAAATCTAGCTAGAAAAACAACTGAAAGATATGGAACTTTAATTTCAAAGATATATCAAATTTTCAATGAATTAGTTTAAAAAACTTGCAAATAGAATTCTGTAAAATACTAAATTTAGTTTATAAACTCCTTAGAAGAAAAAAACAAAACAATTTTGTTATATTTGAAGAAGTCTTAATTATATAACTTAGTTAATTGATCTTAACAACAAAAAAACATGTTTTTAAAAACTGACTAGGTGTGATATTGAAGTGCATTTGTTTTTAATATTTTGACAACTATATTTTGTAAAAATTCAGTTATAGAACAACATTTATTTGTTAATAAAAAATAGAATAAACTGGTTTTAAAGATCTATCTATCTATCTATATATATATATATATATATATATATATATATATATATATATATATATATATATATATATATATATATATATATATATATATATATATATATATATGTGTGTGTGTGTGTATATATATATAATTTATATATATATATAGATATATATATATATATATATGTGTGTGTGTGTGTGTGTGTGTGTGTATATATATATAATTTATATATATATATATATATATATATATATATATATATATATATATATATATATATATATATATATATATATATATATATATATATATATATATATAGATAGATAGATAGATAGATAGATTATATATATATAAATATCTATAAAGAAAATTAAAAATATCTATCAGTGTAATAGTATCTATTAGTATCAATATCTATCAGACCACTGCTTTTTCTTCTTTAAATTAATGATCTTCATACATCCATTAAGTTTGCTACTGTTTACCACTTTGCTGATGATACTAATCTAATGCTAATTAGTAAATCCCTTAAAAAAATTAACAAACACATTAACCATGATCTTGGCAATCTAGTTCAGTGGCATCGCTCCAACAAACTTTTTCTAAACTCTAATAAAACTGAACTCATTATCTTTAAATCAAATAAAAAAAAAATCTATAAACATATGAACTTTATTTATATATATATATAATAGATTAAGTGGCAAAAATATTGAACCTGTTTACTCAATTAAATATCTTGGTATAAAAATTAATTCAAATCTTTCCTTTTTATCCCACTGTAAAGACTTAGCAATGAAACTAAGTAGATTTAATGGCATGTTGGCCAAAATTCACCATTATGTTAATCTTAAGACACTCTTGAACATATACCATGCTATTTTTGGTTCACATCTTAGATATTCATGCCAAGTATGGGGGCAGTCCCATCAACAAGCTCTTATTAGGTTATCCCATCTCCAAAACAAGGCTTTAAAAATTATTCATTTTCAGAATATTAAATTTAATCCTAATGGTGATAACAAGCGTTGCTTGTTATCACCATTGTTCAAATAGTAATTTAAACCTATCTGTCTCTAAACACCACTCTCATAATTACAGGCATAAATCTATAAAATATTAAAGCACTAAAACTTGGTACAACCTTCCTTATGAACTAATAACTCTCAATTCATTCTCGACCTTTAAAACCAGTTTATTCTATTTTTTA